GGTCATCTTGAGATGATTTCGGGGCTTTTTAGTGTCCCGCGGCCCGGTCCTCGACCAGGCCTCCTGGTTGCTCGCAGCCTAACGTATGACTCACAGCCTGGTTGATCAGGTATCATTTGGAGGTGTTTGTCCAGTTCTCTCTTGAACACTGTGAAGGGTCGACCAGTTATGCCCCTTATGTGTAGTGGAAGCGTGTTGAACAGTCTCGGGCCTCTGATGTTGATAGTTCTCTCTCAGAGTACCTGTTGCACCTCTGCTCTTCAACGAGGGTATTCTGCACATCCTGCCATGCCTTCTGGTCTCATGTGGTGTTATTTCTGTGTGCAGGTTTGGGACCAGCCCCTCTACTATTATCCATGTGTAAATTATTATTATCTCTCCCGCCTGCGCTCAACAGAATACAGATTTAGGCCTTTTAGTCGGTTCCAATAGTTTAGATGTTTTACTGAGTGGATTCTAGCAGTAAAGGATCTCTGCACGCTCTCCAGGTCAGCAATTTCTCCATCTTTGAAGGGGCTGTCATTGTGCAACCTGTCCTCTTAAAAAGAACGTCGCTTTTGGCCGTTTGCCCGTATGGCCGAATATGGACGTAATTTGAAAATGAAAAAAAATTGAAAATAAATTTGGGATTTTTTTTTCAACAACAGTAAGTTAAGGGTCCTCTGGTAGGTTAGGTGGGCAGGAAATTCTCATAAAGTTTCAAAACGTTATGAAAAACGTTAATTGAAAGTTCCTCTTCTAAGCTTGCCGAGGAGGGCCGGACGACTCAAACAGAAAACGGAACAGTACGTCACTTTTGTGAGTTGATTTCATTTCAAATTACGTCCAAATTTGACCATAGTGCGCATACGAGCCAAAAGTGACGTTATTTTTAAGTGGACGGGTTGCTTTAAATGTAAGGTCTTCCGACAGGAGTACACCCAAATCCTTTACATTGCTTTTTTTTTTGGTTGTAGGGTATGATTTGATTGCATTTTGTATGCAGTTTCCGTTCTTATAATTTTTTTCGTAGCGCAGGAGCTGAAACTTCATTAAATAACATACTATTTTCTGTGTCCCATTGAAAGACCAAATTTACATATGATTGGAGGTTTGCCGTGCCTCTTATATTGTCTACTCTCATAAAAATCCTAGTGTCATCTGCATAGGATGATACAGTACTATAGATTGTGTCCTTGTCTATGTCCGATATGAGGATGAGAAAAAGTACTGGAGCAAGCACAGTACCCTGAGGGACTGAGCTCTTCACGGTTGATGGGCTGGATTTTATTTTGTTGACTATTACACATTGGGTTCTGTTAGTCAGGAAATTGTAGATCCATCTGCCTATTTTTCCGGTAATTCCTTTTGAACGCATTTTGTGCGCAATAACACCATGGTCACATTTGTCGAAGGCTTTTGCGAAGTTTGTGTAAATTACATCAGCGTTTTGTTTGTCTTCCATGGCATCTAATGCCATATCATAGTGGTCCAGCAACTGTGACAGGCAAGAGCGCCCTGTTCTGAATCCATGTTGTCCAGGGTTATGGAGATGCTGTGATTCCATGTATTTTGTGATCTTACTTCTTAGCACTCTCTCAAAGATTTTTATGATGTGTGATGTTAGTGCTATCGGTCTGTAATTTGTTGCCTCTGCCTTATTTCCTCCTTTATGGATTGGTGCTATCTCTGCTGTTTTTAGTATATCAGGGATAACGCCAGTATCTAGGCTTTGTCTCCACAGAATGTTAATGGCTTGCGATTATGATTGTTTACAGTTCTTCATGATTATAAAGTTCTAAGAATCCGGGCCTGGTGCAGAGTGGATAGGCATACTGTCTATGGCTTCTTCAAAATCCAGGGGGAATAGGGGTGACGTCTGATATATGATTTGATGTTGGTATCATATCCATGAATAATCCCTTTCGGTTATCAATTTTCAGTGTGGTTAGTGACTCGCTGAAAACAGTCGTGCTGCTTCCTCAGTAACTCGCTCATTTCCATGATGTCATCAGTGAAAGTTCCATCTCCCTTTCGCAGGAGCCCGATACTTAATGTAGTTTTTTATCTTGATTTTGCATAGGAGAAACAATATTTCGGAGATCTCTCTCTTTCACGGATGGCCTTTTGCTCTTTTTGTCTCTGTTGTGGTGCTACAGTTACCATGAATATTGCTACAATTCCTGACACACAGAAACTACAGACATTAATAATTGTTCATTAAGCAAGGGAAAGTTGAGTGAAGGTGTAAGTTATAGCTGCCACCCGCCATAGCTTCTCTCCCCTCTCCTCCCCCACCAACCCCCTCCATCATCCCCCCTCCCACCCCTTTCCCAGCTCCAGTACGTCTCCCCTTAGTTGTTGTGTTATCTGCAGCAATAAAGGAACGTGTGTGAGGGAGTGTCCTTGTAGTGGAGTGGTGACTATCTCCTCTCTCCCTCTCCTCTCTCTCTCCTCTCTCCCTCTCCTCTGTCTTTCTCCTTTCTCCTCTTCTCTCTCCTCCTCTCTCCTTCTCTCTCTCCTTTCTCCTCTCTCTCCTTCTCTCTCTCCTTTCTCCTCTCTCTCCTTCTCTCTCTCCTATCCTTCTTCTCTCTTCTTCTCTCTCCTTCTTTTCTTCTTCTCTCTTCTTCTCTCTCCTCCTTTTCTTCTGCTTTTCTTCTTTTCTTCTTCTCTCTCCTCTCTCTCCTTCACTCTTCTCTCATTTTACAAACACGTATGAACATTCTCATTCAGTCATCATGCAGTAAACACTGATATCAATGTTCATGGAGAAGTTCAGTCGTGTTGTCTGTGATTGATGCTGTCTGCTAAGATAAGATGATCACCGGATACAGATGGTGAGCATCTTGAAGACCGGCTGATCTTATCACACTCAGCTTCGCACAGCATCTTTACCACACCTAAAATGGAAAGAAAGCGGAGGCATCTGCAACATACCTGGAGAGTTTCGGGAGTTGTTCCACTCCCCGAGCCCGGCCTGAGGCCAGGCTCGACTCGTAATAACTTGATCCAACATTCTCCCATTTTACACCCGCAAGATAACGTAAATTTTAAGGGTTGACAGGTGTTAATCTAATTGTTTCAGGAGCTGTTCACTTGAGACAGTTAAGCAAATTCCCAGGTGTGTCTAGGTACAAGTAATACGAAGAACAACCCAGCGGGTTTTCTTCCTATTGGGGAGTGCTGTACATGCTGCTATGGCGGTGTGTCCACTCACAGGATGAGTGGCGCTGCCCAATACTGTCACTATGGTGGTGTGTCCACTCACAGGATGAGTGGCGCTGCCCAATACTGTCACTATGGCGGTGTGTCCACTCACAGGATGAGTGGCGCTGCCCAATACTGTCACTATGGCGGTGTGTCCACTCACAGGATGAGTGGCCTGCCCAATACTGTCACTATGGCGGTGTGTCCACTCACAGGATGAGTGGCCTGCCCAATACTGTCACTATGGCGGTGTGTCCACTCACAGGATGAGTGGCCTGCCCAATACTGTCACTATGGTGGTGTGTCCACTCACAGGATGAGTGGCGCTGCCCAATACTGTCACTATGGCGGTGTGTCCACTCACAGGATGAGTGGCGCTGCCCAATACTGTCACTATGGCGGTGTGTCCACTCACAGGATGAGTGGCGCTGCCCAATACTGTCACTATGGCGGTGTGTCCACTCACAGGATGAGTGGCCTGCCCAATACTGTCACTATGGCGGTGTGTCCACTCACAGGATGAGTGGCCTGCCCAATACTGTCACTATGGTGGTGTGTCCACTCACAGGATGAGTGGCGCTGCCCAATACTGTCACTATGGCGGTGTGTTCACTCACAGGATGAGTGGCGCTGCCCAATACTGTCACTATGGCGGTGTGTTCACTCAGAGGATGAGTGGCGCTGCCCAATAGTGTCACTACGGCGGTGTGTCCACTCACAGGATGAGTGACGCTGACCAATAAACTGGCCCCGCGGGGCAAAACTAAAATAAGTTCAACAGGTTGTTGCTTTGAGCGACCAGTAGGCCCACATATGCACAACAGCCTGGTTGGTCCTGCACTTCTTGCAATAACTTATCTAAACACTTCTTGAAGACATTCGCCTTTGTTCTGGCAATATTTCTAATGCTTGCTGGGAGGGTGTTGAACAGCTGTGGACCTCTGATGTTTATACAGTGTTCTCTGACTGTGCGTATGGCACCCCTGCTTTTCACTGGTTATATTCAGTATTTCCTTCCGTACCTTTCGCTCCAGTATGTTGTTATTCTACTGTGCAAATTTGGGACCTGGCCTTCCAGCATGTTCCATGTATATATTATTTGATACCTTTCTCGTCTCCTTTCCAGTGAGTACATTTTGAGAGCTTTGAGACGGCCCCAATAATTTGGATGTTTTATCGCGTCTATGCGTGCCGTATATGTTCTCTGTATTCCCTCTAATTCATAGATTTCTCCCGCTCTGAAAGAGAGTGAGTACCGAGCAATACTCAAGACGGGACAACACCACTGATTTAAATAGTATTCGCATTGCTGTGGAGTCTCTGGATTTGAACGTTCTCATAATTCATCCTAACATTTTCATGGCCGCCGCTATATTTGCTCGGTTATGTTCACTAAATGTCAGGTCGTCAGACATCATAATTCCCAGATCTTCAACATGTTGCTATCCTTCTATGGTTGTGTCCTGTACCCTGTGTTTCGTTTAAGTTCCTCGTTTACACCATACCTCAGTACCTGGAACTTGTCACCGTTAAACATGTTTATTTTTCCGTTGCGCAATCGAAAACGTTAATAATATTGACTATTAATTTTTCAGTGTCTTCTACATAGGAAATTTTCATGCTGATGTGTGTATCATCGGCAAAGGTTGACTTATGGCTGGTGAACTTATAGAACGGGATAATATGTGCAAATGGTGGATTTACTTCTTTCTATCCAGACCTTATCTCTCCAGATGTACACTAAACAAGCATGATGTAAACTACGTTACCTTCACAGGTACTCAACGTGTACAAGACAGTTTGGAAGGGCCATAATGTGCTGTAATACTCCGAGCAGTTCACAGCGAGTATGTCCTTAATGTGTTCTTTTTATCTTTCTAGGTGTGTAAACTGCTGGGCTCCCTCTTCTGCCATGACTTGGTGAGTGTGTCCTCCTGTGGTGCTCCGGTCACCGCTGACTCCTGCTGCTGCTGCTGCTGCTGCTGCTGCTGCTGCTGCTGCACTATACTCTCGTTGCTGCACAGTCCCCATATCTACTCTCCCGGGACATGAGTAGTGAGCTTGAAGAGTATTGAAAGGCACACAAGAGATTTGGGAGCCGCCGCACAAGATGACTGATAGCCATAAGGGGGGCCCCAAGAGCTGAAGCTCATTTCCTACCAGTACAAGAAGCAAGAACACACACACACACACACACACACACTTCACAGTATGCAGTTCAATGTTTTAAGATCTAATATAAGCAGTCTTTGGTGTAGTAGTAATCATCCTAACTTGCTCGCCTCAGAAGCCAGACTGACACGGGTTCGAATCCTGGGTAGGGTGGATTGGTTGTGCACTGTCTCTGTTCTACCTTGAGCGTCGAGCAGTAATTAGAGACGTGGATGTAAAATATTTTTGGATCGTGTTCTAAGGAAAATATGGCAATGAATAACCTTGTTTTTCCATAATCTATCCTGAGGCCTAAATTAAATAAATACAAATATACATTTAATTAAGCCTTAAAAAAAGTAAGGTGTAACTGTACCAGACTGGAGACCTGGCCAGAGACCGGGCCATCCGGACCATTGATCCTCGGAACTACCTCAAGGCTACCCCAAGGTCACCTCATCATTGTAGGTCATTGTAACCCATATACCTGACAGCTAGGAGGCGAGACGCAGGAGTTGCATATCTTAGGTAAGTTCACCCATGCATCCCAGGAGCTAGGCATCCTCACACATGCTGAGGCAAGCACGTCCCAGGAGCTAGGCATCCTCACACATGCTCAGGCAAGCACGTCCCAGGAGCTAGGCATCCTCACACATGCTGAGGCAAGCACGTCCCAGGAGCTAGGCATCCTCACACATGCTGAGGCAAGCACGTCCCAGGAGCTAGGCATCCTCACACATGCTGAGGCAAGCACGTCCTAGGAGCTAGGCATCCTCACACATGCTGAGGCAAGCACGTCCCAGGAGCTAGGCATCCTCACACATGCTGAGGCAAGCACGTCCCAGGAGCTAGGCATCCTCACACATGCTGAGGCAAGCACGTCCCAGGAGCTAGGCATCCTCACACATGCTGAGGCAAGCACGTCCCAGGAGCTAGGCATCCTCACACATGCTGAGGCAAGCACGTCCCAGGAGCTAGGCATCCTCACACATGCTGAGGCAAGCACGTCCCAGGAGCTAGGCATCCTCACACATGCTGAGGCAAGCACGTCCCAGGAGCTAGGCATCCTCACACATGCTGAGGCAAGCACGTCCCAGGAGCTAGGCATCCTCACACATGCTGAGGCAAGCACGTCCCAGGAGCTAGGCATCCTCACACATGCTGAGGCAAGCACGTCCCAGGAGCTAGGCATCCTCACACATGCTCAGGCAAGCACGTCCCAGGAGCTAGGCATCCTCACACATGCTGAGGCAAGCACGTCCCAGGAGCTAGGCATCCTCACACATGCTGAGGCAAGCACGTCCCAGGAGCTAGGCATCCTCACACATGCTGAGGCAAGCACGTCCCAGGAGCTAGGCATCCTCACACATGCTGAGGCAAGCACGTCCCAGGAGCTAGGCATCCTCACACATGCTGAGGCAAGCACGTCCCAGGAGCTAGGCATCCTCACACATGCTCAGGCAAGCACGTCCCAGGAGCTAGGCATCCTCACACATGCTCAGGCAAGCACGTCCCAGGAGCTAGGCATCCTCACACATGCTCAGGCAAGCACGTCCCAGGAGCTAGGCATCCTCACACATGCTGAGGCAAGCACGTCCCAGGAGCTAGGCATCCTCACAAATGCTCAGGCAAGCACGTCCCAGGAGCTAGGCATCCTCACACATGCTGAGGCAAGCACGTCCCAGGAGCTAGGCATCCTCACACATGCTGAGGCAAGCACGTCCCAGGAGCTAGGCATCCTCACACATGCTGAGGCAAGCACGTCCCAGGAGCTAGGCATCCTCACACATGCTCAGGCAAGCACGTCCCAGGAGCTAGGCATCCTCACACATGCTGAGGCAAGCACGTCCCAGGAGCTAGGCATCCTCACACATGCTGAGGCAAGCACGTCCCAGGAGCTAGGCATCCTCACACATGCTGAGGCAAGCACGTCCCAGGAGCTAGGCATCCTCACACATGCTCAGGCAAGCACGTCCCAGGAGCTAGGCATCCTCACAAATGCTCAGGCAAGCACGTCCCAGGAGCTAGGCATCCTCACACATGCTGAGGCAAGCACGTCCCAGGAGCTAGGCATCCTCACACATGCTCAGGCAAGCACGTCCCAGGAGCTAGGCATCCTCACACATGCTGAGGCAAGCACGTCCCAGGAGCTAGGCATCCTCACACATGCTGAGGCAAGCACGTCCCAGGAGCTAGGCATCCTCACACATGCTGAGGCAAGCACGTCCCAGGAGCTAGGCATCCTCACACATGCTGAGGCAAGCACGTCCCAGGAGCTAGGCATCCTCACACATGCTCAGGCAAGCACGTCCCAGGAGCTAGGCATCCTCACAAATGCTCAGGCAAACACGTCCCAGGAGCTAGGCATCCTCACACATGCTGAGGCAAGCACGTCCCAGGAGCTAGGCATCCTCACACATGCTGAGGCAAGCGCATGGATGCACCACCCCGCCAGCAACTGCTGCTAACACCTTCTAGACTAAACCAAGAGGATTTTCACCCATCCAGATGGTCCACAATGCTCTCCGTCCTCCCTAGTCCCCGAACCTCGGCAGACTGCAAGAACCAGACACAGTGGTCAGCTTGCGAGTATCACAAATAAAGATGGCTTAATAAATAAATTAAATGAATTTCAGGAGAAATTTTCAATCTTATCAAACTTTTATGAAAATAGACCTAATTATCTCATACGGCTTCAGGAAGGGCAAGATATAATTAACGAAGCTGATATATTACGAGATAGCAAAAACATGAAAGAGAGCGTTAGTTAGATTTTCCTACTTTGCCAGAAGGCTTTCTGATACATTTATAATACCAATGAAGAAAATTATATAGCAGGCTGGAGTAACCGAAAAGATTCTGAAATGAGTGTAAGAATTTCTTGACTGGCAGAAAACAGGGTTAAACTTTGTTCAATCTTGGATCCCTTGAAGGTGTACATCTCCCACTCTCCCTCCACCTCTCACTCATAAGAATGTTCACGGAAACTGCATAAGGATTTTACGGGCTCACCATAGTCCGTGCTACATGGACATTTCATTCTGAGAAGCTAATCTAAAATAACAACAACAACAGCATAAGGTCTCTTGGCCTATGCAAGGCATCTCCTAGTTGTGTATAAATTTGAATAGAATTACAGAGTTTGAAGATTATAAAGGAGGTCCAATTTATTAAAATATCCTTAGTGTATTATATATATATATATATATATATATATATATATATATATATATATATATATATATATATATATATATATATATAAACTTTCTATTACTCTATTTTAAAGCGACAAAATACACAAAACATATTAAATAGTCATAAATATTTTATATCACAAACAAAATTTGTTGGATCCAAGTCGATAAACAATTTGGTTAATATTGAGAGGAGAATCATTGGAAGCCTCAGTGTTGTGCCTCACTGAGTGCAAACCTGCACAAACAGTGCAGGTTTGCAGTGCAAACAGTGCAGCTGGTCATGCAGTGCAAACCTGCATAAACAGTGCAGGTTTGCAGTGCAAACAGTGCAGCTGGTCATACAGTGCAAACCTGTATAAACATTATTGTGATAAAAGTCTCTTGCGGATACCATAACTCCTCACGCAAGTATAACTTTTGTAGTGTTATAGAACCGTCGGTGAAGATCATAATTAGAGTATCCAGGGAGCCTCTTGGGCCGAGACAGCTGTCGTTACTGCCTGCCTTCTTACCCACCAAGCTTTGAGACACTCTGACAGCCCCGTAATTAGTAACTCATTATTTTTAAAAATGCTCTGATTACTGGGTGTTCGCGCTTCCCAGCCTTGGTAATATATCGTGTGCGTACGGGTGAGCCTTTCATCATACCTGGTGACCATACCTGGTGACCATACCTGGTGATCATACCTGGTGACCATACCTGGTGACCATACCTGGTGACCATACCTGGTGACCATACCTGGTGACCATACCTGGCGACCTACCTGGTGACCATACCTAGTGACATACCTGGTGAACATACCTGGCGACCATACCTGGCGACCATACCTGGCGACCATACCTTGCGACCATACCTGGCGACCATACCTGGTGACCATACCTGGCGACCATACCTGGTGACCATACCTGGTGACCATACCTGGTGACCATACCTGGTGACCATACCTGATGCTGCAAGCATCCATTTTGCAAAAACATTTGATTGATAGGGAATGAGGTAATGGCAAATATAATAAAAATCAGTAGAATAATAGGCTAAGTAGGGAGGTGAGTTTTCAACAAAATCCAACTTGTGTATGGTCTGAGGCGGAGCATACACAGGGTGTATACTCCTCCTCCTCCCACCGTCACTCTTCCTCATACTCATACACCATAGACAAGAATACATGTTACCGCTTTTTCATCCTTCATCGATCATGCAGAAAAATGAGGTCAGGGTCTTCCAGTGAGGCAACGACTCCATAATATATTGTTCAACGATGACAAATTCCAATTATTTCGATTTGTGAAAAACGATAACCTTAAGAAACGTTCAAAATAATAAACTCAAGACATGGTCTCGGGAATGTTCAAATGGAAATAATATAATAATGTGAGAAGACTTAATCTTCAGAGATCACAGTACAGCAAGTGTTGAGAGCCTTCACAACACTGGATGCTATGCCACTTAATTTTGTTTAGAGATGAGGAGCGCTGGATTTAGTTATGAGATAGCAAGACCATATTCAGTGCTTTTAGCAGCAAGGGAATCAAGTAGAGCTTGCAGTCTGGGCTGTACCTCAGGGTACAGTCCTTGCACCACTGCTTTTCCTTATTCTCATATCAGATATAGACAAAAATACAAGTCACAGCTTCGTATCATCCTTTGCAGGTGACATAAAAATAAGCATGAAAATTACCTCTATCGAAGACATTGAAAAACAACAAGCAAATATTAATAAATATTTTCGAATGGGCAGCAAAAAATAACATAGTGTTTAACAGTGATAAATTCCAGGTACTCAGGTACGGTAAAAATGAGGACCTTAAACATAATACAGGGTACAAAACACAATCAAATCTGCCCATAGTAGGAAAACAGCTTGTAAAGAATTTGGGAATAATGATGTCTGACGACTTAACGTTTAGGGAGCATAACCAAGCAAATATTGCGACAGCCAGAAAAATGATCGGATGGATTACGAGAACTTTCAAATCCAGGGATCCCATCACAATGGTTGTACTCTTCAAGTCACTTGTGCTGTCCCGTCTTGAGTACTGCTCAGTACTCATTTCCCCCTTCAGAACAGGTGAGACTGCTGAAATAGAGGGAATGCAGAGAACATATACGACATACGTAGACACGATAAAGCACCTAAATTATTGGGATCGTCTCAAGGGTCTTAAAATGTACTCACTATATAAGGAGACGAGAGAGATATCAAATAATATACACGTGGAAGATACTGGAGGGCCAAGTACCAAATCTACACAGTAAAATAACAACGTACTGGAGTGAACGATATGGAAGAAAATGCAGAATAGAACCAGTGAAGAGCAGGGGTGCCATAGGCACAATCAGAGAACACTGTAGAAACATCAGAGGTCCGCGGTTGTTCAACGTCCTCCCAGCGACTATAAGAAATATTGCCGGAACAACCGTGGACATCTTCAAGAGGAAACTAGATAGTTTTCTTCAAGGAGTGCCGGACCGACCGGGCTGTGGTGGGTATGTGGGCCTGCGGGCCGCTCCAAGCAACAGCCTGGTGGACCAAACTCTCAAGCCAAGACCCCCATTCAGCAGGTATCCAGCAGGTTGTGTTTTTTTTTTCAGGGATATTCCTGCGCGGGCCCTAAGCCTCTGGCTGGCCCACTAAGTGTTGCTTGTTTCTGTTTTACTTGGGCGGAGTATGAGTATTTATGACTCGTATGATCGCTTCAGTAAGATTTTGCCATATGTGTTCAACAACTTCTTCTGCTCTGTTGAATCGAAGTTGAAATCTTAATGGGTTTGTAACTGTGCACTGTGTTAGATAATGTTCCAGTGGTCTGTTGTGGTTGTAACTGTGCACTGTGTTAGATAATGTTCCAGTGATCTGTTGTGGTTGTAACTGTGCACTGTGTTAGATAATGTTCCAGTGGTCTGTTGTGGTTGTAACTGTGCACTGTGTTAGATAATGTTCCAGTGGTCTGTTGTGGTTGTAACTGTGCACTGTGTTAGATAATGTTCCAGTGGTCTGTCGGGCATTTCTCCACAGTGCAACAATGCAAATGTCATCAGCATAACAGATAACAACTTCGTCAGCTGTGAAGTATAGTGAAGTATATTGTTATACTCTTGTTATTCATTGGCCTCTCATATCCCCGTTACAGCTTATAGGCCAGGTGCTCAACCCCCTGATGACGTCACTGGGCCACAAGCCGCAGTCAAATCTTGACCTTGATGACTTAATAATTCCTGATGTGAGTAGTAGTCTAAGTCTTGAGGCAAACATGTAACACTCTGTCATCTCTAAACGCTCTGGAAACACACCAAACCCAACCGTTACTAACTACAACGTCATAATGTTGATGCTGGTGCAGATATTGTACCCCAGTGTCTATGGTAGCCTACCCAGAGGACGGTAGGCTGCTCACTGTACGCGGGTACAGTGTCTGCCGCTGAGTGGTGACGTAATTTGTAACCCCTTGCAAGTACAGTGGGTCAGGGCTGGTTGGCTACTGTGTGTTAAAGGGGATTTAACACCCCAAAGCACTCCACCTACCGTAAAGTCCGTGTATAAATGTTGTTTTGTAACGTGATTGTGCGGGTGCCTTTGTGTTCATTACAAGGGAGGTCAACGATACTTGTACTAACAACTGAGGCAAGTTTAGTACCATCTGCGTTACTGGTGATGGCTGACTCGCGTGTGTGTGTGTGTGTGTGTGTGTACTCACCTATTTGTGCTTGCGGGGGTTGAGCTTTGGCTCTTTGGTCCCGCCTCTCAACTGTCAATCAACTGGTGTACAGATTCCTGAGCCTATCGGGCTCTATCATATCTACACTTGAAACTGTGTATGGAGTCAGCCTCCACCACATCACTTCCTAATGCATTCCATTTGTCAACCACTCTGACACTAAAAAAGTTCTTTCTAATATCTCTGTGGCTCATTTGGGCACTCAGTTTCCACCTGTGTCCCCTTGTGCGTGTTCCCCTTGTGTTAAATAGACTGTCTTTATCTACCCTATCAATTCCCTTTAGAATCTTGAATGTGGTGATCATGTCCCCCCTAACTCTTCTGTCTTCCAGCGAAGTGAGATTTAATTCCCGTAGTCTCTCCTCGTAGCTCATACCTCTCAGCTCGGGTACTAGTCTGGTGGCAAACCTTTGAACCTTTTCCAGTTTAGTCTTATCCTTGACTAGATATGGACTCCATGCTGGGGCTGCATACTCCAGGATTGGCCTGACAAATGTGGTATACAAAGTTCTGAATGATTCTTTACACAAGTTTCTGAATGCCGTTCGTATGTTGGCCAGCCTGGCATATGCCGCTGATGTTATCCGCTTGATATGTGCTGCAGGAGACAGGTCTGGCGTGATATCAACCCACAAGTCTTTTTCCTTCTCTGACTCCTGAAGAATTTCCTCTCCCAGATGATACCTTGTATCTGGCCTCCTGCTCCCTACACCTATCTTCATTAAATTACATTTGGTTGGGTTAAACTCTAACAACCATTTGTTCGACCATTCCTTCAGCTTGTCTAGGTCTTCTTGAAGCCTCAAACAGTCCTCTTCTGTTTTAATCCTTCTCATAATTTTAGCATCGTCTGCAAACATTGAGAGAAATGAATCGATACCCTCTGGGAGATCATTTACATATATCAGAAACAAGATAGGACCGAGTACAGAGCCCTGTGGGACTCCACTGGTGACTTCACGCCAATCGGAGGTCTCACCCCTCACCGTAACTCTCTGCTTCCTATTGCTTAGATACTCCCTTATCCACTGGAGCACCTTACCAGCTACACCTGCCTGTCTCTCCAGCTTATGTACCAGCCTCTTATGCGGTACTGTGTCAAAGGCTTTCCGACAATCCAAGAAAATGCAGTCCGCCCAACCCTCTTTTTCTTGCTTAATCTTTGTCACCTGATCGTAGAATTCTATCAAGCCTGTAAGGCAAGATTTACCCTCCCTGAACCCATGTTGGCGATTTGTCACGAAGTCCCTTCTCTCCAGATGTGTTACCAGGTTTTTTCTCACGATCTTCTCCATCACCTTGCATGGTATACAAGTCAAGGTGTGTGTGTGTGTGTGTGTGTGTGTGTGTGTGTGTGTGTGTGTGTGTGTGTGTGTGTGTGTGTGTGTGTGTGTGTTAACGGTTGATATAATGATACACAATGTGTTTGTGTTATTGTGTCGACTTGAGCCCCCACGTCGCAAACACTTGGGGCATAATCTTACTGAAGCGACCATAAGTCATAAATACACACACTCCGCCTAAGTCAAACAGAAACAAGAAACATGTAACACTGAGTGGACCAACCAAAGGCTTTGGGCCCGCGCAGGAATATTCCTGCAACAGATAGAGTGGAAGCATCGGAGTGTGTATATATGAACGCTACACAGTATTCATCTATGGACATCCATATATGGTGAAACACATGTGAAGAACCTCTCACACACTCACAGCTCCCTGACAAGAGGGAGCCAGCTTAGCTTAGCTGCCAACACCCACACATCGTGTCAGCAAGGCGGACAGCCCGCCTGCTTTCATACCTCTCACTGTATTTCCCACTTCTATACTTCCCTTCACCTATGCCTCTCCTTCCTCTTTACTCTCTCCCTCAAAAAAACATATAGAGTCGCGCCCCCTCTACAGCAGAGCCGCTCTCCCCACTCTACAGCAGAGCTTCCCCCTCTTCTGCAGAGCTTCCTCCACCCCCCCTCTACAGCAGAACCGCTCACCCCCCTCTACAGCAGAGCTCCCCCCTCTACTGCAGAGCTTTTTCACCCCCTCTACAGCAGAACCGCTCACCCCCCTCTACAGCAGAGCACCCCACCTCTACTGCAGAGCTTCCCCCCCCCTTCTACAGCAGAACCGCTCACCCCCCCCCCCTCTCTACAGCAGAGCCGCAACAGTCACCTCAGGGACTGAGCCTCAAGGTCTGTAAAGGCTGCTTCACGTCACCTGAATGGTGGTGGTCAGTGTTGGTGGCGGGGGGGGGGGGGGGGTAGGGCCATTGAGATGATGGTCCACCCTCCTGGCTGGCCTGATCCCTCCTGTCTACACACTTACCCCCCCCACCACCACCCTCTCTCTCTCTCTCTCTCTCGCTCTCTCCAGCTCTCACATCCCTCTCCTTTCCCTGTCTCCATTTCCTCTCTCCTTATCCACCCATCGTCTCTTCCTTTTCAAAGCGTTATCCCCCCCCCCTCCTCCTCTCTCTCTCTCTCTCTCTCTCTCTCTCTCTCTCTCTCTCTCTCTCTCTCTCTCTCTCTCTCTCTCTCTCTCTCTCTCTCTCTCTCTCTCTCTCCCCCACACTCACCATCCAACACCTTTACGTGCCCCATCCCTCCTCCCAATCCATCCCCAGACTCCTCCCCCCCCCCCCGTGGCACCAACAGAGGGAATAGGCCTTTTGTTGGGAAACTTTTCAAGTGGGCACAATTTGGGCCAAGCGTAGGGTAGGGGGGGGAGGGGGTCGAGGGCCGTGATTGTGTCCAGTGATTGGAGTGTATAATAGATTTTGGTCACAACCAATAGGATTTGGCCAAGCTCGTTAACGTTGGTGGTGGTGGGGGGGGGGGCATGGGCGAGGGTGTGTGGTGGTGGGGGGCATGGGCGAGGGTGTGTGGTGGTGGTCGGCACGGGCGGGGGTGTGTGGTGGTGGTGGGGGGCACGGGCGGGGGTGTGTGGTGGTGGTGGGGGGCACGGGCGGGGGTGTGTGGTGGTGGGGGGGGGGGCATGGGCGAGGGTGTGTGGTGGTGGGGGGCATGGGCGAGGGTGTGTGGTGGTGGTCGGCACGGGCGGGGGTGTGTGGTGGTGGTGGGGGGCACGGGCGGGGGTGTGTGGTGGTGGTGGGGGGCACGGGCGGGGGTGTGTGGTGGTGGTGGGGGGCACGGGCGAGGGTGTGTGGTGGTGGGGGGCACGGGCGAGGGTGTGGTGGTGGGGGGGCATGGGCGAGGGTGTGTGGTGGTGGTGGGGGGCACGGGCGAGGGTGTGTGGTGGGGTGCACGGGCGAGGGTGTGTGGTGGTGGTGGGCACGGGCGAGGGTGTGTGGTGGTGGTGAGGGGCACGGGCGAGGGTGTGTGGTGGTGGGGGGCACGGGCGAGGGTGTGTGGTGGTGGGGGGCACGGGCGAGGGTGTGTGGTGGTGGTGGGGGGCACGGGCGAGGGTGTGTGGTGGTGGTGGGGGGCACGGGCGAGGGTGTGTGGTGGTGGGGGGCACGGGCGAGGGTGTGTGGTGGTGGTGGGGGGCACGGGCGAGGGTGTGTGGTGGTGGGGGGCACGGGCGAGGGTGTGTGGTGGTGGTGGGGGGCACGGGCGAGGGTGTGTGGTGGTGGTGGGGGGCACGGGCGAGGGTGTGTGGTGGTGGTGGGGGGCACGGGCGAGGGTGTGTGGTGGTGGTGGGGGGCACGGGCGAGGGTGTGTGGTGGGAGGCACGGGCGAGGGTGTGTGGTGGGAGGCACGGGCGAGGGTGTGTGGTGGGAGGCACGGGCGAGGGTGGATTCTCATGCCGGGATTGTCAGCAATGTTGAAAGTAAGATTTGAAGAAATCTCCATGGCACAAAAAACCCTCAGCCAGGGTATCTATCTACTGCAGCTACTACCACCTGACCAAAGATAACTACAACCTTGAGCAGGAAGAATATTATAACACAACCCCATGTTGGACAAGCTATAAATACGACCACTCAGCTGCAGATTGCCAACAAAGGGATACCAAAGTATGTTCAGAATGTGACGAGAAGGGACACACATTCAGAGATTGCGCAAATAAAAACCAACCCCCAAATGTCTCAATTGTGGGGGTCCCCACCGCACGCTGGCATCAATCTGTTCCGCCAGGAAGAATATTCTAAAACAAACAAGGGCTGAAACTGTCGCAAGATAGACAGCAATACCTGGAAGATACTGGAGGGCCAAGTACCAAATCTACACAGTAAAATAACAACGTACTGGAGTGAACGACATGGAAGGAAATGTAGAATAGAACCAGTGAAGAGCAGAGGTGCCATAGGCACAATCAGAGAACACTGTATAAACATCAGAGGTCCGCGGTTGTTCAACGTCCTCCCAGCAAGCATAAGAAATATTGCCGGAACAACCGTGGACATTTTCAAGAGGAAACTAGATTTATTCCTCCAAGGAGTGCCGGACCAACCGGGCTGTGGTGGGTATGTGGGCCTGCGGGCCACTCCAAGCAACAGCCTGGTGGACCAAACTCTCACAAGTCGAGCCTGGCCTCGGGCCGGGCTTGGGGAGTAGAAGAACTCCCAGAACCCCATCAACCAGGTA